GCAGGCAACTGGTCACTCTCGGGGCGATGATTTCACGGCCGATGACGTAGCTCATTTCTCGTTACACATCGATCAGGTCACCGACCAACGCTAGTGCAACGCTTTTGACCCTACTAAAGGCTACACTTTCGCTCACAGCCGTGTCGAACATGACAGCAAGCTTGCCTCCTGGCAAGCAAAGCAGCTGACCCTCCAGCTCGCCACTCCAGCTTACCACTCTAGCCGGCTAATACGAATCTGATATCTCTACCGTGTGCTTCACGTAAACTAATGTGTTCTCACACACAATTTTCTCCCAAATTTTGAGATTGTATCTTGGTCACGGGCTGCCGACGCGCCCTATGATCATTGTTTATAATTTAATTTACAAGACCTATTTTGCGACACTACCTCTCCTTTCCTTCTGAGACGCGTACCCTACGTGCCCGCGTCTTGAAAGGGGGTTGTAGTAGTAGCCGGTAGTGGTCGGACTTGGGACAGGCCCGATCCTTGGACAAGGACAACAGGATAGCTCTCCCTGAGGCCTAGGGCCGAGAGATCCACATGTCAAATAGAGATAGAAAGGCCCGGTAGCCTGAGACTCAATTAAGATTACCGCACGAACCCTAGGATCTGGTCTTTTTCACACTGATTCTAGCTTAGATTCACTATAGCAAACAATGTGTACCTTTACTACAATGGTATTTTCTTCTTCAAATTCTTTTAGCGGTGTACGTAGCCTACTATCACTGAAAGCGTATGTACTAATAATAAGGTTTTCTGTTCTTAATCCAATAAAAAGGCTTAAGAATAGCCAAACATATCCCAATCAAAAACTTTAAGATTTCAGAATTTGACAACTTCAGGATTGAAAACCCCTGAAAGTCAAATTATATCGTCGCCCTATGGATTAGGATCTCTGCTAAATCTACGATTCCGATTTCCGCTGGAGACCCTAAATCCAGAGGGCCATGATTGCATTTCCATTACTGCAAAGCTTCCAATCCCTCTCGGGAAGCGGCAGGTTTTACCATAGCCTTCTCAAATAGATATTTTATCAAAAATAATCTGGTCTTCATTTTATCAATCCGTTCACTGAACCTGCAATCTACCAAAACTCTAACTTACTAGCTGAGAGATTTTCAAATACACCTATTCCATTCCTTTGAAGCAAGAGCCTAGGTAATATTATTGAATCAACTCGTTCAATGAACTATATATGCCCATATCATCAGGGATTCAATTTTCGTACATTCACTTCATAGCGTAAAATGTAAACTATTATCCACATTTATTTACAAAATAGTGCAGAGTCCCTTCTTTTTCTTTATAGGTTTCTTCGCGCTGTTCGCGCTCTCCAACGCGAAGTTTTTCCGAACTACTCGGACACATTCCGAGAATGTCTGGTCCACATTGTGCCTCGTCTTTGCACTCGTTTCTACATAGGGTACATTCCACCTAATAATGGCAATATGATAAAATAAGGTCAGTCACTACGATAAAATGTACGGGCACCACGCATGGGATAATTATCTGCTCTTGACGACACCATCACAGAATGAAAACGATTACAGACAACCGCGAACTGGCAGTCCCAACAAGTTAAACGTACTAGCAAATAGGCACTTGTATACACAATGGATTACAACAATTCACATGTGTGTGGACATGCATATTTCCGTAATAAGCGAAAACGAAATGTAAACAAATACATATATAGGGTTAATACATGAGGACAGCACGCGCATGGGATCATAAGCGCGGCACTTACTTTTGAGCAAGCATGTTCCCTTCCTCTGTATCGACTTCACGGTCATGCTCTAAATCGCATTTATTGCCCACAAGGACGCAAGGTACCCAAGCCTTATCTTTCACTCTCAAAATCTGTATGCGAATGGAGAAATATGTCCAGTTGCACAATCGTGAGGGTTCTACTGTATGATCTGTGTTCTTAATTATGTTCTCATGGTATGGTGTGGTTCTAGTTGCAAATATTAAAATATTGTGCTGGTATCAGACAGAACTCGTGCACGCCTCGTCAAATAACAAAGCATAGAAGCACATCGGTTGAATATAGACTGAATGCACAAATCAACCGCTGCGCATAAACGGGTATATGTAAATCTATACATGGGGTACGTAATATACCGATCGACAGAGACAAAAAGATTTGGCCTCAATTGAATAGCTACGAGAACAAAAAAACCTACCCTCTCATATAAACTGGCTGCCTGTTTGAACGAAGCCATATCTGTAACCGAGAACACCAGCACGAAACCTTCTCCTGTAGTGATCAGTATTGAACGTTGTCAGAAAATTGATTGAACATCTACCAAAATATAAATCTACGGTAACAGATAACTAGACAGAAAAGAATATCGTTGCCAAACATTTCAAGAAGTTAGTTGCCCATGATTTCATTTGGCATTACGAAGTGAATGACCCTGAGGCAATCCCAATGCCATTCCATATAATTACTGCATGCGAGCTGTCGATGAAATGTGAGACTATATCAAAACACGACGGTAGCAAATATCAAGCTTATAAACATTATATCAAATCCACCGACTCGACTTGAAGAGCACAACGGATATTAAGGGCTCTATATATTTGAACATATACTTTTCACATATCGTGACGTTTAAGAGTCAGTTCAAAGATATTCAAAAAATTGAGGGTTTTAGGTTGCATAGCTACACTGGTTAGATATGAAGTACCCTCGCACGCGATAACATATGGTCAGGTCAGACACCTATACAAGCACGCATTGATTGTAATATATAGTCCTTGTGCTGAATGTATCTGATAAGCAATATACTTATGTAGCTGTGCAGATGTCAATATGCCTAATCATATATGTAAACATGTACATGTACATGGACATGTGC